CAATGAGGAAACTGAGAGCTGCCAGGTAATTTTCCCAGAGTCAGACAGCTGCCAATGCCTTGGCCGTGCGTCTGGCTGGTTCTATGAATGCTACCCTGCATTATCTGAGGACCCTGAGGCCCGGGGGGTGGGGCGAACCCCAAAGGCATTCAGCCTCCAGGTTAAGGTCTCGACCACCTTAGGACTTGCAACCCAGATCCAGGGCTCCTTCAATTTCAGGAGGCCCCACTTCCTGCACCTGTCCTGCCTCTCGACGCCAGAGCTCATTTGTTTGTGGATTCAGCATGGGAAGGGCTGCTTGGTCTGCACTTACATTCACAGTCACATATGCCCACAAGGCACAGTGGCTCAGCCTGCAGCAACCTCTACTGAGCAACGCATTTGCTCTACGGAGCTGGGTGAAGTTTAACAAGCAGGGTCCGCCTTAATCATCTTCATGCAGAACATTGAGCAGCGCCCTTGGGAGGCGAGGCAGAAGCTGAGCTAGGAGAGTGAGGTCGGTGCTGGCCACAGTTCCCCAAGCTGGTTTTTAAATCTCCATCCCTGCCGTTCCCTCACTTTGACTTTTCAAACATATATAAAAAAAGTAGAGCGATGAAGCCCTCATTGACCCATCGCCTAGACTTAACACTTTTGTTTCATCTTTATGTTTTCTATAGTATTTGAAAGTAAATGACACACAGTTACAGCTCACTTCTAAACACTTCCACATGCATCTCTAAGATATAAGGACTTTTTTTTTTTTTACGTAACCACAGTAATAGTAACCTAACAACATAAATAATAATTTTTAAAAATTCTTAAAATCCCCTCTTGTCCTTAACATCTTTTAGAGTTGGTTTATTAAAAGGGGTATCTAGTCAGGGCCAGTCGAGTGGCTCAGTTGGTTAAGAGCTCGCTCAAGAGTGCGAGATCTGAGCAACAGCGGTTTGATCCCCAGCCCAAGCTGAGCTGCCAACAGGTGGCAGGATGGCTCAGCTGAAAAAAAAAAAGGGGGTATCTAGTCAAGGACTATGCGCTCCATTTGAAGGTTCTGTTTCTTAAGTCTTTTAAAATCTAAAGCAGTTGTTTCCCATCTACCCATTCTTTTCCAATAATACTGATTTGTTGATGGCCAGTGTCCTATGGAGACCCCACTGTCTAGCTTTGTCTGGCTGTATTTCTTGTGGTGACATTTAACTTGTTCCTCAATCCCCTCTATTTCCTGTCAATTAAAAGTTAGGTTGGAAGTCTTGATTGCACACTTTGGTGCTGAGTGACAGTGTGTACTGTGACCACATGCCTGGTCATCTAATATGACGCCAGGATCTGCCACTGGGTCAAAGGGCGGTGACTCGGTGCCTCAAGGGGAGCCGTGTCCCTCCCCTTTCAGGCGGCAAGCAGTCTGGCCACGCCCCATTTCGAAGTGTGCCAAATCCCCACATCCCGGTCCCATTCTCATCCCACCCCACTACAGGAATATGCCTCCCCCACTCACTGTACTTTCTGGTATCCCCACCATCAAGGTTTCACTGAATTTACCTCCTGAGTTTGCATTGTGAATACAGAACATGTTTTTCTAAATCAAAAATTTTAAAAATTTAAAACTGTAATGTCGAGTATGCTTTTTCGTGGCCCCACCTCAAGATTCTGCTATATCTTGGGAGGCGAGTCACTAGTCTGAACTCTTACTGACACTTAGGACTGGGCCTCTGGGAGCTCCAGTGCTCTTGGGCAGGTCACACCGGCAAGCCTGGCACAGACCCAAGTCCTGCACGGTGCCTGGGAGGTGTGGCTCAGTTCTGCGGCCCAGCCATGTCAATTCAAAAGTTAAAAATGCCAACCACCTGCAGAGCTCCTGGAATTGGAGACGGAGCCAGTCCCGAGCTCATGCCACCACAGGGCAAGGAGCCAGGGCCACAAACTCAATTTAGAGCCACAAGATGATACCAGTGCTGGTCAGCCAGGAAAGGCTGACCAACCTTCTCAGAGCTGCAGGGACTCTGGCCAGAGGTATGGCTTCTCAGCCAAGATTGGGCCCGCATCGTGATGGTGGGGCCAAAACCTCCTTGTGTCAAACACAGTCCATGGTCTCTCTGAAATTTTTAAGTTCTGATTTAGAAATGTATATGACAGTCTTACAAAAGTATACAAATCCCGCACCATGCTTATTTATATATCCAGTGGGTCACCGTTATCAGTGGGAAAGTGGCAACTGTTCTAAAAATGGGGAACCATGAGGTTATCAAAGAACCCGCAGGTAGAGTCAGATGAGAAAGCCAGCCATAGTTACTTAGAACGTCTTACCTGTGCAGCCACTACATCTCCTATGGTCCTCAGAAGAGCCCGTGAGGTTGGTATGGGGACGCCTCGTTTATACGAAGGAATATCAGAACCCCAGGGCCTGGAAACAGAAGAATGGCCAGAAACCCAAGGAGAATGGTCACACAGCTGGCAATGGTGACACCATTGGCGGGACTCTTAAGCCCTTGGTCTTTCACTGCAACACGCCATCTTCCCCACTGCGTAGCTGTAAGCGCAGAACCAGCTCCAAATGGTTCTTTCCTGTTTCTAAGAAGTTACTGAGTTGCTTTCCAGAGACAGCAGACCGCGCATCTGAAGACCACAGGCCACACGTCTGAAGCATGCGCAAAGGAGAGAACTTTGACCCCCAGCGGCTCCCAGAACCAAAGTCTCATTCCCTCCCCTCCTGCCTCACAGAACCAAAGAACCGAGACATAACCAGAACTTGAACACTGCTACCCTTTCAGAAGCGAAGCACCTATTGTCAGGTAAGATCCAGTCCCAAAGCCTCTTCCGATAAATGACCAAGTTCCCAGGCCCTCCGGTGAAAACTGGCCCCGTCAGAGCTCCTGCATATGTTTGTTCCCCTAACCGCTTAAAAACCTGCCACAAACCCTGAGTCAGAGAGACAGATTTGAGTAGTGCCTCCTGTGAGCTGACTCAGCATTGAAAACATGGCACTTTCCCCAGAAGCCAATGGTCATAGTACCAGCTACCACACATGTTGGGCAGCAAACCCTTTTTGGGCAACAGAACCACACCAGCCGAATTGAAATTGGGCAGAAAAAAAGGTAAGTACAATCCAAATTTGTTTTCCAGGTTTTCTTTGCAGAATCTGAGTTCCTAGCAAGACCTAGAAGGCCCTTCTGCTGCGGGCTCACTTTGTGCTCCGTTCCCGTTGTTCCCTATGCGTTAGCCATACGGGCCTTTCGGTTCCTTGAAGGTTTGTGTTTCTCCCATCCCAGGGCCTTTGCACATGCTGTTCCCATCAGCAGTTCTCCTAACGATAACAGTTAATGCTTATCCTTAAAGCCTGGGCTTACTTGTTTCCTCAGGGAGCCCGTCCTGGCCTAGAGTAGGTCAGGCCACCATGTCCTTTGTCTCAGAGCATTGTACTTCTCCTGCACGGCACGTTCAAAGTTGCTTCTCCTTCACGGGGTCAGAATCACCAGGCCATGGGGTCAGGGCCCGAGCCCCTGAGGTTTCTAATTTCCACAGAGGGCTTTAAGTGCCTATGATCAGAGCCCAGTCGCTTCCTTCTGGGGCATTGAAGTTCCCTATCAGTGAAACGAGGGCTGTGACCGCTATGAAGCTGTGGTTGATTTACCACCAACTCTCAAGTCACAGGTTATCCAGGTGACAGCATCCCTTCAGCAGAGTGGAGGCACACTGGGCCTTTCCCAGGCTGGACCGCCCCCTCCCCAGCTCTGCCACCCAGCACTGTCCCTATCCCACGGAGCCTTCCATCCTTTTAACCTCCCTTCCTCCAATCCTTGTAGGCTCAAGCCTACTGCCATTGTCACTGGTTCTTGGAGGCATGAGAGAGGACAGTTAGTTAATATTCCATGAAACCACATTTACTTCATTGAATGGGCTGCTTTCATTCGGAGGCTATTTCCTTTAACCTTTCTATTCTTTTTTTTTTGAAATTATGGTAAAAATAAAGAGGTATGTATGTTGTTTTAAGTTTTTCCTTAGAGAAACCTGAAGCCTCAACTTGTACTGGTGTGAAAAGCAGGGACGTCTGAGAACTCACCGACAGGGTGAAGACCACGTTCCCGAGGCCGTGCGTGCCTGCCCCGGCCTGGCCTGAGGCTCCCTTCCCAGCCCGCGCCTCTCTCGCTTCCTCTCGTCCCCACCTTCCCAGATCTTGGGTCCTGCGGAACTCGCAGAAGGTTCTGCAAATCCAAGGAGGCTGCGGTCTCCCGCGTGGCCCGGCTTTGCCTGCCTCTCTGGGCAACCCTTCCTGAACACCCCAGCAAGGGGTCACGTCCCTGCAAAGTGCTCCCGGACCAGGCCGAGCCATGTCCTCCCCGCAGCTGGGTGTCCTGCCCAAGCGCCAAGAGCCAGCTTACCTGCCCGTTGTCACCTGCCCAACGCCTCCCCACCCCCTAACCTGGCGAGTGGGGTGATCCTGGCACAGCCAGGCACTGAGTAGGTGCTTCATGTTTATCAGATGAGTGAATGGACCATGTGCTCTGGGAGCCTCCTCCCAGGGAGCCTCCGGGTTTGCTGGCTCCGGGGTTCTCCACCAACGCGTTACGAGTGGGGGACCGCACATCGCCAGGCGCCTGTCCGAGCAAAATCCCGGGGCTGAGCAAACCACACGCTTCATTAATCGCATATAACCCCCCCTCCGCCCCCGTCGGGGCGCACCCCCTCCCCCCCTAAGGTGCCCGGTCCTCAGGGGGGCTCGCGGAGTCAAGCAAACTCCCCTGAGAATGGAAAGGCGACGCCCCTGCTGGGCTGCTCCTCCGGGGGTGTCCGTGGGCCACGCATGTGGGGGGCCGGGCGGGGGCGCGCGGTGGCAGAGCCGAGGCCCCGGTTCCGGGTGGGCGGCGGGCGCGGGGTCCCCGGGCCGGGTTGCCGCGGGGCCCGGGCGGGAGGAGCGCAGCCCGCGGCCGTCCCGCCTCTCGCCCGCGCTCCCGGCCGTTCCCATCCGGCCCGCGACGCCCCGCCCGCCCCGTCCCACATGACGCCGCCTCCGCCGCAAACTTTTTCCTCCCCATCCTGTCGCGGCTCGAAAGGAATGGAAAATGGCGGCCTAGGCGCGGAGTTTCCTGCCCGACCAGCGGCGGCGGCTGTCCCGGCGGCCCGGGGCGCGGGGCCCGCGCGGCGCCATGACGCGCTGGGTGCCCACCAAGCGGGAGGAGAAATACGGCGTGGGTGAGCCGCGCGCCTGTCGCCCCCACTTCCCCGGGGCCCGACCCCCCCGGGCCGGAGCGCGCCCGGTCGCCGGGCGCTGCCCACGCGGGTCCCGGGCGCGCGCTGTCCCCCCGCCCCCGCGAGAGCCCGCGCGAGCCGGGCCGGAGACGCGCGGGGACGGGGGGCAGGTCGCGCCGCCTCCCGGGGGGCCCCTCCGGCATCCGGCCCTCGGGCGGGCGCCCCCCAGCGCAGCAGCGTGCTGCTGTGCGGGCCCGGCCGGGACACCCGGGTCCTTGTTTTCCGCGCCTTTCTGCTGCCGGGCGACGCTGTGCCGGGGTCTGGGGCGCCCGGAGGGCAGTTGCAAGTTGCAAAGGACCGGAGAGAAGAAGTGCGCTCCCCGCCGTGGGAGGCGGCACGCGCGATCCGGGGGGCCGGCCGGCCGCTGGGGGGCCCTCCCCGGGACCGTGCGACCCTCGCGGAGGCGCCGCCGGGCGCCCCGGTGTCCCTGGGCCCAGGGCGAGCCCGTGAGGGGGAGGGCGGGACCTGCTTTGGCGGCTGCGCTGCTCTTTGTCGGGTCCCGAGGAGAGGAGCGGGGTCAGGTTGCACGTTCGCATGTCGGAGCCCGGGGCACGCCGCGGAGAGCCAGGCTTCCTTCGTGGGCGAGCAGACCCCGGCCCTGCCCGCCCTGCCGGCCTCCTCAGGGCCTCTCCCGGCCTGCCGAGCCCCCCCATCTCCAGGGTTCCCCGCCCTGGACCTTCCCGGTTGGTTTTCAGTCTCACTTTTCTCCTGTTGGGCGACCCCAAGAAGTCTGCCCGGCAGCCTCACCCAGGTCAGACTCTGCCTGACCTGGGTGAGGCCTGTCATGGCCTTGGCCTCCCCTCTGCACCAGGCTGTGTCCTCCTCGGCTTCCCCGACCTCCTGTGTCTGAGCCTTTGCAGGGCCCCGGGGCTGTGTTGCCCGTGCCCACTGCTGGTCTGGTTTAGTCCTGGCCCTCTGACTTGTAGGGAGTCCGAGAGCTGGGGGAGGAGATGGACGGGGAGGGGCGGGAAGGGGTTTTTCTTTGGGGCTCCACACTTTTAAGACGCCTTGATGCCCTTCGTTGGCTCTCAGGGTTGCCTGGAGGGCATCACCGAGGATGCTGCAGGTGTGGACACCTGTAGAGTAGCGTGACTGTCCTGTCCGGAGAAGACCAAGGAGAAGGTTTGCAGGTGGAGAAAGCGGGGTGTCCCCGCAGGGGCGACGGCTGTGGACTAGAAGACAGCTGTGTTCCTCCGTGCTGAGCCCCATGCCTTCCAGAAGCTCCGCCAGCCCTCGCTGCTGTGACTTCTGACATCGCAGCTTTGGCTTGTGCTTTGGTGTTAAGAAAGCTCCGTGTTGGAAACTTTCCAAAGAAAAATGCTCAGGATGGTTTTTCCAGGCAGTTCCAGGAAGGGTGTGCGTGGCAGCCAGGTAGAGGAGAGAGTGGGCTCTGCTGCTGAGTTTTTCCAGGTGGGGATGAGACAGCTGAACTGGGTGGAAGTGACAAGACAGCACAACTCCGTCAGCATCCGAAGCAGCTTTGACCACCTAGAACCCCTGCCAGGGAGGCTTGGAACCCCGGTTTTGGGCAGAGAGGATGGTGAGATGTGTGCTTGTCGCAGAATTCGCACTGGGAAGCTTCTGCTGGTTCCCAGGGGTGCAGACTGGGTGGTGTAAGTGCTGGGATGTCGGGGTTCAGTCCCATTAGCTGACTGGCCGTTTCAGCCTGAGGAAAAATTCCTCGAGACCCCCCTTACCAACCACTGTGTTTTTTGAGGAGCCTCAGAGCAGAGCTGCGTTTCTCTGGAGGGGCCCCGGCGGGCCTGTGCCTGGGCCGCGCGCTTCCACTCAGGCCGCTGGCTTGGCCGATGAATGAATCACGAGGGGAAAGAAAATGGTAAAACTCCATCTCATTTGGAAACATGAATCACAGCTCATTGTTTGCGAGCACTTGGAGTCTGTTAGAAGCATTGTCTGTAAATGACACACTTCAGTTATTTATTTATTTTATAAAATCGGTGAAAGAGTAAACAGCAAAGGCAGGAAACGCTGGTTCCCCCATCCCCCATCATTCCGGTGGGGGTTGCCCATTAAATGTACCAGCCTTTCAGTTGGTCCCCTTGGACTTGAGTTTGGAGGTTCAATGTTTACAGATACAGCTTATTAACATAGGCATGAACTTTGACCTAGCTGTCACGCCAAGTGGCTGGGCCCGATGAACTTTTCCATCAGCCCCCGCCCCCCCAGCTAGGTAGAGCCTGCTGTTCCAACACCAGTAAACTTGTGTTTATTCAGATCCTGGTCCTAAGATCAGGTAAAAAGCTGCATCCACATGGTCTCCAGTCACACCTGAGGCTGGTGGTCCAGGCAGCATAATGCCACGTCCATACCCAAATCCCCAGAACCTGTGACAATGACACGTGACGTGGCAGAGGGACTGTGCAGATGTGATTGAGGTCATGAACCTGGGATGGAGAGATGATCCTGCATTATGCACGTGGGCCCAGAAAGCAGAGGACTTCCTCTGGCTGGTCATGGAAGAGGGACTCAGGAGTGGGGTCACAGGGCTCGGTGTGCAGTTGCTGGCCCTGAGGTTTAGGAGCCCACTTGCAAGGACCACACAGAGGCCCCAGGGGGCCAAGGCGGCCTCCAGCGACAGCCAGCAAGGAGGCAGGCGCCTCAGTCCTACAGTCACAGCTGGGTTCTGCCAACACCCTGGATGAGCCTGGAAGCCATGCACCCCAGAGCTGCTCCCACAGCAGCCCAGCCTGCTAACGCCTTGACTTTGAGACCCAGAGCCACTGGGTTCTGACTTTGAGACCCAGAGCCACTGGCTGCCTGACCTGGAGAACTGTGAGGTGATAAATGTGGGAGGTTTTGAGCTGCTCAGGATATAGTAATTTGTAAGGGCAGCGATAGAAAACTACCCGGGCGTGTAGAGAGCAGCTTGGAGGAAGAGGAAGGTTCTTTTTCTAGCCTTTAGCGCTGTTAGGAAGCTGACCTAGTCCCAGGGGACCCAAGTGTGCGCACTTCACCCTGGCCGCGTCTGCGCAGAGCTTTCCAACAGGAGAGGGCATTGGCGCCGCAGACTCCTTTAACTCTTATTCATTACGTGACCCTTGAGCAAATGACGGACGTTTTCATAGCCTCAGTTTCCTCCTCTGGAAAGTGCAGAGACCAGGGAGGGCTCACTGTGACAGTGCCGGCGGAGCGTGGGACACTGCCGGAGGAGCCGAGCACCCAGTGGGGTGTTGCTTTATCAACTTTTTATTTAATAAAGCACAGTGTAGGAAGGTAGCGACATGTGATTTTCTGCTTGGACTTAACAGTCATGGTTGCGGAAAGAAGGCTGTTCTTCAAAAGTTGATCTCTTAATGGTGTGTTTTGCCCCTACTGGGGGGAAGTGACACTTACTTGGCCAGATTAGCTCTGAGTGATACTTGCTAGGAGTAGTGTAATATCCAAATAAATTTGGGAGTGTGGGAGCTGCAGAGAGATCTCTTTTGTTATCCAGAATAGCAGGCAAGCTGCAACATCAGGGAGGAAAATTAGATTTGATCGTAAGTAAATAGAAATGCAGACATTTTCCTTCACTGGAGTTGCAGAAAAACCAAATTAGGGCATATTATATTTCTACAAACCTGGTTTTACTTTGGAAATATTATACAAATTTAAAATTTATTGTTGTGCCAGTGTTTGCCTAGAATATCAGACATCTTTTCAGGATTGTCTTAGGGTGTGAGAATAGTTCTTTTTCTTGTTCTCTGTGACCTCTGATGAGGCAGGGAGTGAAAACCTGGAGAAAGAAAAAGGCTGCCCTGGGGTCTTTCACGGGGTCCATCAGAGAGGGTCACAGTGCCAGTGCCCACGTGCACATTCTCTCCTCCCTCTCTCCCTCCCTCCTTTTCCTTCTCTTTTTTTCATTGAACTTCGTATTTTCAGATAATTATAGATGCATGTACTTGGAAGAAATAGTAGAGAGATTCCACATACCCATTACCTGTTTCCCTCAAGGTTATATTTTGCAAAATACGGTATTCTCTCAGAACCAGGGTGCTGCTATCCATAGTCAGATACAGAGCCTTTCCATCGCCCCAAGGACCCCTCCTGTTGTCCTGCTGCCGCCACCCCCTCCCGCCTCCTTCCCACATAATTTCTGCAAACCATTCATTTGTTCTCCATTTCCATAATTGTGACATTTCAGCAACGTTACGTGAACAGAATCATGTAGTAGGTAACCTTTTTGGGTTGGCTTTTTCCACTCAGCTGGCAAGTCTCTGGATTTTTGTCAGGTTGTTACACGTATGGATAGTTTGTTTCCTTTCATTTATGAGTCATGAGCCACGGAGTGGCTGGACCACAGGTGCTTTCACTGTTCACCTGCCGAAGGACAGCTGGGTTTTCATTACGAATACAGCTGCTGGGGACGTCCGTGTACAGGCTTTTGTGTGACCGTCAAGCCTTCGTTTGCTGGGATCAGTGCCCAGGAGTGCAACTGCTGAGTTGTATGGTAGTTGCATACAACTCTAGCTTTTTAAGAAACCGCCAGACTTTCCCAGGGTGGCTGTACCGTCACATTTTCCCAGCAGCCACGTATGTGTGATCGGCTCCTCTCTGACCTCGCCGACACTTGTGATCGCCCTGCTTTCTGTTTTCGCACTAGTGTGTCATTGTGGGTTGGATTTGCCTTTCCCTGATTACAGCCCATCCTGAAGGATACCTTGGTCTAGTTTGGGAGATGATGCTGCAGGCAGGTGCCTGTGCTGTGTCCTGGGGGAAGGCTCCCGGTGCTCCGGGCAGGGGCCGCGGGGCAGTTCAGGGAAGGGCCCCAAGTCCAGTGTGAAGACAGCATCCTGGGGTGGGGGCTGGCCGACAGGTCCGGAGATGAACAATGCTTTACACCACTGGCCGACCGCTTGTAAGACGTTCGCTTTTCAGACTCTTTCAGAGTCTTGAGAAGGTCTTCAGTGAGGTAAGCCATCGTGAGGAAGGGACGCAAAGAG